TGTAGAGGAACTATCAAAATAAAAGTTAAAGTATCCAAAAAAAAATATTCCCACATTTGTAATCAAATTTAAAGAAAAATGATCAAAATGTTCACATTCAAAATCAAAGTTATAGGATTCAAAAACGTTATAACATTCCCATATTTGAAATTAAAGTTTAATAATCTAAAAATGGTGAAAACATTCTGACATTTATAACCAAAGTTACAAGATCCAAAACTGTCAGAACATTCTCATATTTGTATTCCAAGTTAAAAGTTCCAAAGTAATCAAGACATTCCCACATTTAATTAGGAACAATCAAAATCTAAGTTAAAGGATTGAAAACAACATTCCCATAATTGGAATCGAATGTAAAGGATCCAAAACCTCAAAACATTCTCACTTTTGTAATTCAAGTCAGAATTAAAAACATGTAGAACATTCCTACATTTATATAGAACCAACCAAAAGCTAAGTTAAAGAATCCAAAACAATTAAAAAAAAATCCCACACTTGCAATCAAAATTAAAGTATATAAGACAATCAAAACATCTATCGAACCCTAATTTTGATGATTATAAAAATTAAAGAAGTTGTTATCTTGTAGATAAAACTGGCAAAGTTAAGGAAATAAGGTTTATGAGCTTAAATTCTTTAAGTTTTCTTAACCTTAATTCTATCTAATTTAGAAATAGTTATTTGAATTATTTCTAGTCCATGAATTGATTCAGCTCAAATTAAATACAAATTAAAACTTTTGTTAGATTTGTTCTTAAACATACTAGTATATGCCGTTCCTATTAGTTTTTCAATGTCCTACCCAAATCTCCCACTTCTACGCTAATATATCAACCTCATATTTTCCTATCTTTCCTACTGGTATGTAAATGTTCTACCCAATGATCTTACTTCTCCCCAAAGATGTAAGCTCTACCCAACTGTCTTACTTGTTTCTTAAACATGAAAAAACCTACTGATATATCAAAATCTTACCTAGATGTGGGACATCTACTCAAATGTTCAACTTCCATCCAAATGTCCTCTCTTACTCTTAGCTTTTCAATTTCTGGACACTTCTACCGATAAGTTAAAAACCTACCCAAATGTCTTTAGTTCTACCAATAGATGTCTTCTTCAATCAATGTATTTTACGATCAATCCTTCTGATATATCTCTCATCTACTTGTATGAGGTCCTTCACTGTCGATCCTAAAACCTTAATACTCATACCGGTATATCCTACTTTCTATTAGTATATCCTTGAAGACTTTTTCCTTGTTTTTTAATTCCTAAGCAGAGCATTTCAAAACCCACTAAATTGCTAATCTCTTGTGCTTTCTTGTGTTGTGTTCATCTTATTATCATTTAAGAATCATTTCAAGCACAATCAAGGGCAAGACCAAAACTCCTATTCAAATTTGAGATTAATTCTTTCTACTCGTATGTCTTTGCTCTACCAATATCATACTATTTTACTTTTTGTCAAAACATTTAATACATATAGTTGTTACTTTCCTTAAGGCACCAACAACAAACAAGCCTGCTGGAAAAGCACTATTTCATTGCCTTAAATGATGAAAAACCTCAGAGAAATCAATTTGAAGTACTCAACGACAAATATATGAGTCTAACGGATATATCTCTAGAATCAACTATAAATTAGATTCATTTATGAAGAAGAAAAGTAGAGAAACTATTTGAATAAACTACCTATATTCACTCTCTAACTACTTTCTGTTACTTCATTGGATATTTTGAGTGAATTATTGATCGTATATCCACTCTGAAGGAGAGAATTATCACAATAGTGATTCATTATTGAATCCTCAATATTCTTTTCTATATTTCTCATCTAAGATAAAACTACTTAAGATCGAGGAGCTTAAGAGAACTTTTATAAAGGGGAGAGTTACAGACTCAAGAAAGAGTTTGAATTGTACTGTTACAACCAAGAGCTCAATTTAATCTTGATAAGAGATAGTGAAAAATCTCAAGTATATCTTGAGGACTGAACGTACACTCAAGTGGTTAAAAAGCTGAACCAACGTAAAGACTTAGTGCAAAGCTTCTCTTCCCTTCACTTAGCCCTATCTGGTGATATCGTTCCTAACTTATATTTAATTCTTGCATTATCTACTGTAAATTTTTATTTAGTCCAATTCACCCCTATCTTGGGCGCACTTTACAACATTCTCACATTTGAAATCAAACTTAAAGGGTCTAAAATAATTAGAACATTCTTGCATTTACAATCAAAGTTAAAGGATAAAAAACAATCAAAATATTCCTACATTAAGGAATTGTCAAAATATATATTAAAGGATCCAAAACAACATTCATGCATTTGTAATCAAACTTAAAGGATTTAAAACTATCATTCTAACATTTATCCAAAATGATTAGATATTCTCACATTTGTAATCAAAGTTAAAGAATCTAAAACAGTCAAAACATTCCTATATTTGTATAGGAGCCATCAAAATCCACATTTGTAATCAAATTTAAAGGGTCTAAAATGGTCAAAACATTCTTACATTTGAAACCAAAGTTAAAGGATCCAAAAATGATCAAAACATTCCTACATTTATGATCAACATTAAAGCATCCAAAATGGTCAAAATATTTTCACATTTGTATTCCAAGTTAAAGGCTCCAAACCAATCAAGACATTCACATGTTTAATAAGGAACAATCAAAATCTAATTTAAAGGATCCAAAATAACATTCCCACAATTGTAAATGAATTTAAAGGATCCAAAACCATCAAAACATTTCCACTTTTTAAGTTGATGTTAAATGATCTAAAACTATAAGAACAGTCTCACATTTGCAATTTAAGTCAAAAGACTCAAAACATTCCAACATTTGTATAGGAACTATCAAAAGCTAGGATAAAGAATCTAAAACAATCAAAACATTCCCACATTTGTAATGAAAATTAAAGGATCCAAACAATCAAAACATTCCCACATTTGATTAGGAACTATTAAAATATATGTTAAAAGATCCAAAACAATGTCCTCACATTTGTAATTGAATTTAAAAAATTCAAAACAGTCAAAACATTCCTACATTTATAAAAAAAAAATTAATGATCCAAAACGGTCAAATATTCCCACATTTGTAACCAAATTTAAAGGGTCAAAAACAATCAAAATGTTCCCACATTTGAGATCAATGTTATAGAGTCCAAAAATGATCAAAACATTGCTACATTTTTAATCAAATGTTAGATGATACAAAATAATGAGAACATTCCCACATTTATAATAAAAGTTATAAAATCCAAAAGATTTAGAAATTCTCACATTTGTACCCCATATTAAAAGTTCCAAAGCAATCAAGATATTCCCTCATTTGTTTAGAAACAGTCAAAATCTAAATTAAAGGATCCAAAACAACATTCCCACAAATGTAATAGAATTTAAAGCATCCAAAACTATCAAAACATTCTTGCACTTATAGTCAAAATTAAATGATAAAAAAAATAAAAACATTCCCATATTTGTCTAGGAGCCCTCAAAAGCTAAGTTAAAGGATTCAAAACAATCAAAAAATTCCCACATCTTTAATTGAAAATTAAAGGATTCAAGTCAATCAAAGCATTTTCACATTTGAAATTGAAGTTAAAGAATCCAAAACAATTAAAATGTTCCCGCATTTTTTTAAGATTCAACAAAACATTACTACATTTATAATTCACATTAAATGATCCAAAATGGTCAAATATTCCTAAAATTGTAATCCAAGTTAAATAATTCAAAACATTCCCATATTTGTGCAGGAACAATCAAAATCAAAGTTAAAATATAAAAAAAAAGGTCAAAAAATTAAATGATCAAAATTAGATGATCAAATTTAAATGATCCAAAAACTCCTATGTTTATAATCAAAATTAGAGAATCCAAAATGATCAAAACATTACCACATTTGTATTCCAAGTTAAAAGTTCCAAAGCAATCAAGGCATTCCCACATTTGTTTAAGAACATTCAAAATCTATGTTAAAAGTTTTAAAACAACATTCCCACAGTTGTAATCAAATTTCAAGGATCCAAAATCGTCAAAACATTCTCAAATTTGTAATTGAAGTTAAATGGCTCAAAACAATAAGAATATTCACACATTTGTAATTCAAGTAAAAAGATTCAAAATGGTCAAAACATTCCAAGATTTTTATAGGTGTCGTCAAAAGCAACGTTAAAGAATCTAAAATAAACAAAACATTCTCATATTTGTATAGGAACCTTCAAAATCAAAGTTGAAGTATCCAAAAGAATATTTCCACAGTTGTAATCGAATTTTAATGGTCAGAAACAGCCAAAAAAATTACCACATTTAAAATCAAAGTCATAAAATCCAAAATAGTCAGAATAATCCCACATTTATTTACGAACCGTCAAAATCTATGTTAAAGAATCCAAAACAACATTTCTACATTAGTAATCGAATTTATACAATTCAAAACAATCAAAACAATCCTAAATTTGTAATCCAAATTAAATGATCTAAAATGGTCAAATATTCTTTCATTTGTAATTCAAGATCTAGAATCTAAAACATTCCCATATTTTTATACAAACCATACAAAAAAAAAATATTCTCATATTTAAAATCACAATTAAAGAATCCAAAATGTTCAAAAAATTCTCACATTTGTAATTGAAGTTAAATGATCCCAAAAAGTTAGAACACTCTCGTATTTAAAATTAAAGTTAAGAGATCCAAAACGATCATAACATTTTCACATTTGTAATCAAAATTAAATGATTCAAAACAGTCAAAACATTCACATTTGGTTAGGAAATGTCAAAATCTATGTTGAATGATCCAAAACAACATTCCCATATATGTAATCAAATTTAAAGGATCCTAAATGGTTAGAACATTCCAAATTTTGAAAACAAAGTTAAAAAATCCAAAACGATCAAAACATTTTCACATTTATAGCTTAAGTTAAATGATCTAAAATGGTTTAACATTCCCACATTTATTTAGGAACCACCAAAATCTATGTTAAAAGATCCAAAAACAATATTACCACATTTGTTAATGAATTTAAAGGATTCAAAATGGTCTGAACATTCCAACATTTGGAATCCAAATTAAATTATCTATACAGTCAGATATTCCCAAATTTATAATCTAAGTTAAAGAGTCCAAATATTCAAAACATTTCCATATTTGTATAGGAACTGTAAAAATCAAAGTTAAAGTATAAAAAAAAAATACTCTCATTTGAAATTGAAGGTAAATTATCCAAAATGATCAGAACATTCCAACATTTGTAATCGAAATCAATTATCAAAAAAAAGTTTGAACATTCCCACATTTGAAATCAAAGTTAAAGGAGCCAAAATAATAACATTCCCACATTTGTAATCGAAGTTAAAAGATCTAAAACAGTCAAAATATTACCACAATTATTAAGGAACCATCAAAATACATGTTAAAGAATACAAAACAACATTCCAACTTTTATAATCGAATTTGAAGTATTTAAAATGGTCAAAATATTCTCATATTTGTAATCGAAGTAAAATGATTCAAAACGATCAAAACAACCCCACATTTGTTTAGAAACCAACAAAATCTATGTTAAAGGATCCAGAAGAACATTCCCATATTTGTAAACAAATTTAAAGGATACAAAAATGTTAAAACAGTCTCACATTTGCGATCAAAGATAAAGGATCCAAAAAGGTTAGAACATTTCTACATTTATAATCAAAGTTAAAGGATCCAAAACGGTCAGTATATTCTCACATTTGTTTAAGAACCCTCAATCTATGTTCACGGATTGAAAACAACATTCCTACTTTTATAATCTAGGATAAAGGATCCAAAATGATTAGAACATTCTCACATTTCAAATCAAAGTCCAAAACGGTCAAAACATTCCCGCAATTATTATCAAAGTTAAAGGATCTAAAATGATTAGAACATACCCACATTTATTTCAAAACCATCAAAATCTATGTTAAAGGGTTCAAAACAAAATTCCCACATTTGTAATCAAAATTTAAAGGATCTAAAAAGCACACAACTCCCACATTTGAAATTAACGTTAAAGGATCCAAAATGGTAAAAAAATTTCCAAATTTATAATTGAAGTTAAAAGATTTAAAACAATCAGTACATTCTCACATTTGTTTAGGAACCATCAAAATATATGTTAAAGGGTCCAAAACAACATTCTGACACTTGTAATCAAATTTAAAGGATTCAAAAAGATTAGAGCATTCCAACATTTGAAGTCAAAGTTAAAGGATTCAAAATAGTCAAAACATTTTCACATTTATAATTGAAGTTAAAGGATTCAAAACGGTCAGAACATTCCCACATTTGTTCAGGAACCCTCAAAATCTATGTTCAAGGATCGAAAACAACATTTCCACTTTTGTAATTGAAGATAAAGAATCCAAAATGATCATAACATTATCACATTTGAAATCAAAGTTAAAGGATCCAAAACGGTCCCACAATTGTAATCAAAGTTAAATGATTCAAAACATTCAGAACATTCCAACATTTGTTTAGAAACCTTCAAATTCCATGTTAAAGGGTCCAAAACAACATTCTCACATTTGCAATCGAATTTAAAGGATCCAAAAAGGTTCGAACATTCCCACATTTAAAATCAAAGTTAAAGGATCCAAAACAATCAAAACATTTCTACATTTGTAATCAAAATTAAATGATCCAAAATAGTCAATACATTCTCACATTTGTTTAGGAACCGTCAAAATTTATGTTTAAAAATCCAAAACAGCATTCTCATTTTTGTAATAGAAGATAAAGGATTCAAAACGATCAAAACATTCTCACATTCGAAATCAATATTAAAGGATCTAAAATGGCCAAGATATTCTCACAATTGTAAACAAAGTTAAGGAATCCAAAACAGTCAGAACATTCCCACATTTGTTTCGAAACCATCAAAATCTATGTTAAAGGGTCTAAAAAAGCATTCCCACATTTGTGATGAAATTTAAAGAATCCAAAAAGGTTAGAGCATTCCCACATTTGAAATTTAAGTGAAAGAATCCAAAACAGTCAGAATATTTTCATATTTTTAATCGAAGCTAAAAGATAAAAAAAGTCAGTACATTCCCATATTTATTTAGGAACAATCAAAATATATGTTAAATAGTACAAAACAATATTCCCACATTTACAATCAAATTTAGAGGATCTAAAAAAGTTAGAGCATTCTCACATTTGAAATCAAAATTAAAGGATCCAAAATGGTCAGAACATTTTTACATTTATAATCAAACTTAAAGGATCCAAAACAGTCAATACCTCCCTACGTTTGTTTAGGAATCATCAAAATCTATGTTCAAGAATCAAAAACAACATTCCCACTTTTTTAATAAAGGATAAAGGATCCAAAACGATCAAAATATTCTCACATTGGAAATCAATGTTAAAGGATCCAAAACGGTTAGAACATTCCTACAATAGTAATCAAAGTTAAAGGATACAAAACAGTTAGATCTTTCCCACATTTTTTTTAAAACCATCAAAATTTATGTTTAACGGTCTAATAACATTCCCATATTTGTAATTAAATTTAAAGAATCCAACAAAGTTAGAACATTCCCACATTTGAAATCAAAGTTGAAGTGGTAATCGAATTTAAAAAATAAAAAAATATTAGAACATTCCCACATTTGAAATCAAAGTTTAAGTATCAAAAATGGTCAGACCATTTCTAAATCTGTAATCGAAGTTAAAGGATCCAAAACGATCAGTACATTCTCAAATTTGTTTAGGAACCGTCAAAATCTATGTTCGAGGATCCAAAACAGCATTCCCACATTCCTACATTTGCAATTAGATTTAAAACCGTCTAAACATTCGCACATTCATAATTCACATTAAATGATCCAAATAGTCAAATCTTCCTAAATTTATAATCCAAATTAAGGAATGAAAAACATTCTCTTATTTGTAGAGGAACCATCAAAATCAAAGATAAGTATCTGAAAAAAAAAATATTCTCACATTTGAAATAAAGTTAAAGGATCCAAAACGGTCAAAACTTTCCCACATTTGTCATAGAAGTTAAAGGATCTACGAAGGTTAGAACATTCCACATTTGAAATCAAAGTTACAGGATCCAAAACAATCAAAACTTTCCAACAATTGTAATCAATGTTAAAGGATCCAAAAAGGTCACAACATTCCCACATTTGAAATTCAAGTTAAAGGATCCAAAATGAACATAAGATCAAACCATATAATCCGATCAGTTGGACCGCTGGACTGACATCCCAATAGCTTGATTTTCATCAAATAACCGTTTCTAGGGTTGAATCGGGTCGAGTTAGATTAAGAGGCCATAAAACCCAGTAACTGATATTAACCCGAAACCTAGACCTGACAAGTTTTGACTTTTTTTACGTAAAACCTTGGGCAGGAGACAGCAAAGCAACTGACCAAAAATAATAATAATAATTAAAATTGAGCCTATTGCACCGTTCAAATGAAAATCTGATATGACAAATATGCTAACAAAAATTATGCAAACATTGGGTAATACAGTTTCGTCCAAGGACTATTGAAATATTGAAATTAGAATAATATACAAGGACTAAAGCATTGGAACATTGAAATTAAAATTATATAAACATTGGAATATTGAAATTAAAATACACACACACACACACACACAAACAAGGACTCAAGCAGTCATTGACAATCAGCCTCTCTTTTTTTTTTTTTTTTTTAAATAACAGACAATCAGCCTCTCTAGACAATTTCTATAAAAAAGCAAAAATTGGCTAGGTCGTAGAAGGCTAGTTCAGGGAACATAGTTTTGGAGATGTTTCCAGGAAATTGATAAGATCAACAAAACAAAATGAATAACAGCATTGCTTATAGCTTTTATATTTTATCTGGAATGGAACAGACTTGATATTGAAAATTATATTAATTTCTATCTAGCACTCCAACTCAGTTTCAAATTATATTACAGGACTCTGACAACACACACACACACATATTTATTAGATTTTCAGAACAGCAATACATGCATACATATATATCTATATATATATATAGAACAAGCAAAGAAAAAAAAAATATTACACTACATAAATATGAAATGGAACCTGAGGATAGCGAAAAGATCAGAAGGGGCTGATCTTGCTGGCCAACTTTAATAAAAACTCAGGAACAAGGCGTCTTCTTGGGGGTGCTGTTGCATCCTTCGCAAGAGCTTCATCATCACCAGCATGTATGACAGAAACTACGTGTTCAAATAGGTCGTCTTTACCACCTCGGAATGGATCCTGTTCATAATCAAGGAGCAAGACATCATTGGACAAGAAAAGTTAGCAGAGTTGCTCAATGCACAAGCATGTTGTTAGTTTAGGATGTTAGGAAATCCAGAATATGAGTCATTTAATTGGACTCAAGCTATATATGCTCACATGTACACATGAAAGTGCAATACAATATGATTGATTCTTTCCACTTTATATACCACTGGAAGTTCTAGTACAGGGCCAAATACCAATCCTCATAATTTATGTAACCATCTTTATGTTCAAGTATAATTTTTTTGTAATGTCATGCACTGAAACCATACTATGAAATCCAGCAAACATCAAAAACTCTAAGCTATCAAAAAAAAAAAAACTTGACTAATGAAGTGTAACAAAAAATCTGATAAACACAATGGCTGATACTGAAGACATCTTTGGATGACCAGCATAGTTTCAGTCCATTTAGGCTAAAACTACCTATATAGTAATTTAGCTAATAAGGGAAGAGGTCCACTTCAGCATCAAAACAAACTTGTGTGTTTTACTATCACATATACATAGCCAGCGTTGGATTATTGTACGCATATCCATTATTAGTGTTTTGCCCTCATTTAAATGAGTATCTGATCAAATAGAAAGCAAGCTTGTATCAGATCAAATAATAAACAACTATGGATACTTCAGAAAAAAGAAACTCCACCTGCATGAATCACTAGTATAGAACCCCCCCCCCAAAAAAAAAAACCAAAATAAAACAGAAAATAATAGTTGAAGATGGTAAAGTTAGAGGCTAAGTAGGACACAACTACTGGAATATGCATCAAGTTCCACCTTTCACCACATAGCTCACCAGTTAAAATTTTTTTGCACAGTATAATAAACACAAAGGTTAAAACATCAAGTCCCCAGGACAACAACTAAGGTACCACTACTAAAGATGTGGTATTGCCCCATGTGTCACTAATATATTTTTACAAATGAAGAGAAATTGGCGTATGAAGATACACCCAAAAATCAACAAAAAAAGCTTACTTTGGGATTTCACAACTCATGTTGGGTTAAGTGGGTAAGCCTTTTCCTCATGTAAAAGAACCTGCTAGCAGGCAGCTCAAGGCATGAGTAGCTTTAGCTATAGCGCAGAGGTAAAGAGGTTATGAGCACCAGATGGCCAAATGCAAACCGTTAGGGGCTAAACACTTCAGACCTCATTCATTAGCCTTTTGTCAAGCTACGAAGCCAGCTGGGCTGCTTGGAAATAGATTAGCAAAATTTTGATGTACTCTGCTTAGAAGTTGAAAATGCAATGGTTGCTTGAAATTTGGAGAAATTATCCTTTAACTAATTGCACAGCCTAAAAGTGTGAGGACATTACCAACCAATGATCTCCTTTATATCAAAGAACTTCAACATCAAATTACAATTAGGGGACCATTTAAATATCTATTTAGCTACATACTACTATGGTGTACTACTATGTCAGAGATTTAAAGCTGACTCTGCCCAAACTAAAGGGAACAGGAGACTAGAAGACCATTGCGAAGGCCCCCACCATAGTTGAAGCCAATATTGCTAACTTAATTTGGATTTAGTGCTTTCCACATCCCCCTTCCTAATATCTTCGCTTTGTCTCCCTCTCGCTGTTACTTACAAATCTCTTCTCTAAGACACTGCATAAAGCTTTTCGAAAAGCATCTCAACCTTGAACGGTAATATCACCAAAATTACTGCAAAATGAATTTATCAGTAAACTGCTTTATGCGTATGAAAGCAATTTTACTGTGAACCTTAGGCGAGTTTAGGCATCAATATAAATGCAGCCTCCATCAAGACAAAAGGAGCCCAATTCCAAGTTTACCAGCTTCAATTATAGTTCTACACAAATGGTAACAGTAACACTGGTATTTCCTAAATGTCAGAGATTGTGACATACACAATATTAAGCCTGTATGTAGAGTCTACAACAACAACAACAAGCCTTTATCTCATTAGGTGGAATCGACTACATGGATTACACGACACCATTGTGCTCTATCATATATCAAGCTTTTAGAAATGTTATGAATTAAAAAGTCTCGATCAACAACTTCCAAAAGTGTTTTCTTCAACATTCCTCTACCACTCTTTATAGGGCTTAAAATTATCTATTCCACTCTCTTCACTGATTCCTCCTACGGTCTTCTTTGCATATATCCAAACCATCTCAAATAATTTTCTACTATTTTCCCCTCAATAGGTGCTACACCCACTTTTTCTCATATGTACTCATTTCTGATTTTATCTTTACATGTATGTCCACACGTCCATCTCAACATTCTCATATTTATTACTCCAACTTTATGCTTTTGCTGTCCCATTAGAGCCCAACACTCGCTACCATATAACATAGCTAGTTTTATAGCAGTGCGATAAAACTTTCCTTTAAATTTATTAAATACCTTACGATCACAAATAACTCCTTTAGTTTTTCTCCAATTAAATCACCCATCTTGTATTCTATGTATAATATCCCCCTTAATTTTCCCATCATTTTGAATAATAGTTCCCAAATATCTAAACTTTTCTACTTAGAGTCTACAAACGGTAAAATTAAAAACAAAAAAAATGATACCACTCATCACTTACTTGGAGAAACAAATCTGTATGTGTTTTTCCATTGTATAGAACCATCTCAGTTCTTGCACCCACCTTCTTTAGAGCATCAGCAAACCTTTTACTGTAAAGTGTAACAATGTACTCATCAAAATCTGAAACCAATAAACAAAAGTCCCTAGCAGTTTGATGAAAATAATTACTGGTTTAGCAAAGTTAAATATAGAATTTAAGCTTCCATATATAGAATATAACATTTGGTGTTTTGACCAAAAATATAACATATACAGTAGCAAGGAAAAAAAACAACTTAAAGTGCCACTAAAGATATTCACTGTGACGATATTAAGAGCCAGTGAGGCTTTATTATAGCACGAACGGAATAGATTGTAAGAATATTGTCAAAATACTTCATAAATTTCCTTCAACGAAGTGGTAACGTAGTAGACGCTCTAACAACAGAGAATTTTTAAGACTACATACTAACCTGGAATCTGACGGTATGGAACAATCATCACTTCCGTGAAACAGAATAATAGGAGGCAAGAGAGGAATGGCATCTTTAAAGCTCAGGTCCAGAACTTTGACTTCTGGGGAAAACTTCTTCAAAGATTGTTCACCTTCCATTATACTGCAATAAAACTCAGTCTTAAAAGGAATAAACACCAAGAATATTTTTCGGGAAGGTGGTTGGGTAAGCAAGAGGGGAACATTAGGTATCTATATTTAACAGTTTTAGGGAAGAAACCTTAAAAAAATGGAACGATACAAGCCACGTTGATGAAAGTGATCCACTAAATCCAATAAGTTGTAACTGCAAACATATAATGGTAAGCTTAACAGATGTGCACTTGATCATATATAAACTAATTGATCAATGAAACATAAGCGATCATATTTATCAATAGCCATGCTTTCTCCACACCAGCAAACATGCAATGGCATATTTTTATTGGGAGTTTTCCATAGTATCTTGAAGAGGGAATAGAAGTCTGATGTTGGAATTCATAAGTCATGTATTATTTAAAAAGCAATGAGTATTGCTTTAGAATTTGAGGTGAAAGTGTTGGAATATTATTTATGGATTAACATTAATTAATAAGCCCAAACAGATTGATCTTTATGATTTTGTGTGCACTGTGATAGGTGGACTACACAAGTGAGCCCAATGGGTAGAGGCCTAACCCACAACCTAGTAGCCGTTAGTTATTCCCTATCTCTTAACTAACTGAGTCAGAGATAATGTAATATAATTATTTTAATTATATAATAAAGCGATTACTGATATGATTCATAGAAGTCGATTAATCGATAACCACCATACACACATCTCATTTTCGTCGACTCCATTATCTCTGCACTCTCTGAAAACTTTGGGGACCAATAGGTTGTGCGTCTGTCTACACTTAAGGTAATCGAGCTTTCTCAAGCGATCAATGGATTCCTCAGGTACGCACAGAATTACTTTATTTCATCATATATTCAATTATATATGAATTTGAGATATTAGATCTAACAGAAAGTCCAGAATGCACGTGGCCCTTAAGTCCCTTTATCCTTTGTTGTATGTTTTAAAATGTAATCTGCAGTCTACTCAAATCAAGTAATTGGCACGATAACATTATTACCCACTATTGCAATGCTGGAAAAACTATTTATGAAATGATGAGCATAGTACCTTAGCAAGGTAACAACATTCTCCACTAAATATCGACCATTCAAAATCCTATAATGGGACATCAAGGTATAAAATAGACATTCTATGCCATTAATTATAACACTTGAGTGGCTCATAAAGCAATTAGGAGATCCAATCAGCCGTCATAAAATGTTATATTTATTTTCAACCATCAAATCCATAAGCTTTCCTTAGGATTTTTAATCCACTTTTATATTTCACACCTTTGTCCACAAGGGGAAAAGGAGCTGCATAACATTTAAGTTTTAGTTAAGCAATTGGCAGTGGGATGTTGCTCACCACAACCACAAAGGCAATAACCCTCTTAAGCTCCGATCTTGCAATATTATCACAGACAAAAATTATTAGTAAACAATGACTTCATCAAAGACACAACAACATAAAGCCACTAACAAGGAAATCATTCTATAATCAACAGACAATCAAGAGTAGTGGCCGTCATATTTTCATACAGAAACAGAGTTTTACCCTCCAGATAAGCCAAAATAAGCTTTTATCTGGGAGACGCTCCAAGAAATACTATCTCCTTTTCCAGATTCTCTGACTGCTTGATCCAATAAAGCACAAGCAGAAATATGAGCACCAGCAGATTGCCCCATTAGATAAATCCTATTACAAATTTATAGATCAAAAAATCAATCTTATAGTAGAACGTGAAGTGAGGCAGTGGAATAAGATATAATAGTATGTCACCTATTAGGGTCACCTCCATAATCAGCTATGTTTTTCACAATGCAAGAAATTCCTTGTGAAACATCTTTGACCATATCACTGATGGTTCCCTGGGGAAAATTTCTGCATTCACAGATTTTTAGTCTCTTAAAACACTAAATATCGCATAGACTTTGTAGTTTATATCTCATAATTACGTTAATTATCACCCTTTAAGCCACAGTGATAAAAAGCTCACTTACCATAGACACAACTTTATCAAATTATAAACTATGCCTAAATTGTTTGAGATATAAATAACGTGCATATTTATCCTAAAATAAATATGTTACACTTTTCTTATTTATATCATGATTAAACAAGTAATTGCAGTACAAGTTGAATATCTGCATCATTTAACAGGAATGATAGCTCTAATATCTTGCAAAATTTAAGATAGTCTTTTACACATTACTTTAACCTTAAGTAAAACAGAATTTACTAAAAATTAAACTAAAAAAATAGTAAAAACATAGCAGGAAGCAAGCACCCCTGGAGCGGTGATTGGCCTAGAGACCTAGACTTAAATGTCCTAAAAATAGACTACAAAATATACTACCATTTTTCATTAGAATAAAATATGCCAAGTTTGACTATAGGCAAATGAAGCGTCAATCTTACACTGCTTGAAAGTAGAATTGAGACCACTTACCTGTAATCAATGCTTGCCACTATAATGTCTCTTTCTGCCAACTGCAGTCCCAAAAAGGATCCCCAGGCTTTATACCTAAATCATTAAGAAAACAGAAAAACTTAACTTTTAATCTTACCGTGCTTCACACTAATTATTTTCCTCAAAAGAATGTGATGAACAATTCAAACTTACAGCTGCATCAACCAAGTCCTACTAGTTAGTGTCTTTTTAAAATTAATTTCAAAACTACTGGGCATGCTCCCTGATTAAAGCAGTGATAAAAGATGACAAGTTAAACTAAGTTGTCTCATCTCATGTATGCACAAGTTAATATTACTTCCAATCATGCCCATACTCAGTGCTATTCAAATGTATTCATTTAAAGCACAGACAATAATGTTTGGCGCTTCAGAAGATACATCGAATTTCCAAGTGAGAAAATCAAACTTTGATATGTGAAACACTGTTTGAAGTTTTGTTTCTATGATAAAGACAGGTCCACAATCCAGCCTCCCATTCCAACCAATAGAAAGCCCTTCTAGTATGAATCTCTAACGGGGAATTTATCATAGAAACAAAGCTTCAACGTTGTGAAACAGGGGACTAGAAAGGGGGGGAGAAGGAGGAGGAAAAGATAGAAAGAAAGGAGGGAGGAAATAGAGAGAAAATTAAGTGAGAACTGTAACACATCACTGACTGGAGCAGAACTCCTCTCTATAATGGGCGGCAGTCTGCTATTTAAATGACCGAAATGCTTGACATAAAAGGAATTACAATGCCATATTATGCACAAAAATTAACGCTGTGAAGTAAACTAACTAATGAATTGAAGCAACATCATGTCTATCTTAAATCACTCACCCAATAATCCATGCTCCTCCAGTTACAAATATCAAAACTGGTTTAGGTTCACAAATATTAGCAGGCAAATATAGATCCATCCTGCAAAACCACCATTTGAAACCAGAATATCAGGCATTCAATAAATAGCATGATTCATGGGATATAAAGAAAATATTTTTAAAATACTTAACAAATTTGGTACTTAACTTACCTATTTCTCGGCATATTTCCATAAATAACACTCCGCTTTACTCGCTTTGAGGATAAATAATAATATGCAACTGCAGGGATCACCAAAAAATAAATAAATAAATAAATATAAGTACTGCATTCCACGAATGTGGTGATGTTGCTACTTTCAAGTTACAACCATATAGGAGATCCCTTTTAACATAATGAATTTCATCCCCTTCCCAACAAGGAGAAATTATAGCTTGGAGTATAGGAGGAGAACTAAATACATCAATACAAAATAAAGTGAATTCATCATTGTATCACCACTATTTTAAGTGAACAGGAGCGACATTAAAAAAATTCTAAAATCCGAATGAAAATGAAGATTCTACACCACTTAGATAAAGGTGGATGTTAGGGTAGTTGTTATTCAGATGAAAATAAGAAGTTCTCGGTAGTCAAGAAGTGCCCAAGAAGCAAGGTTTCGAAATTAGAAAAAATTCATTAAAAAAAAAACAAAGAAACCAGCATTATGGTTTAGAAACAAAGAAACCATTCATCAAAAAGTGCACAAAAGTTGCATTAGAATTGCATTGTAGATTATTCCTTTATAGAAAAACTGAATATTAGACCAAAAAATGAATTAATCTGACTAAGAACTCCCTAAAGAATCTATATGCTTAAGATGCCAGGCTAACACCAGGGCTCTAGCTATTTATATTGCAGGCTTTTCACAAAAAAAGATCTCTTTTCAATTACTGCACAACATTTTGACCTGATCCTTCAATCAAATTTCCCACTATAAAACAACTTATGGTCTCACCTTCTAACAATCAATATCATGATTAGGCATAAAATTATACACCTTGTCTGGTTATGGACATGATTTAGAACTTGCTATTATGAATACTGTCGAAAACAGGAATCAATGAAAAACGAAAATAATGAAAAGAAATGAAAGATAGAAATTAATTAAAAGTAAACAAAGAATGAACCCACAAAGAAAGTTATAAAAAAAAATAGAATTAAGGGTCATTTTTATCCTTCAACTATATAGGAAAAGTCACAAATACTCCTAAACTCAACTATAGGTCAATTTTGTTCCTCAGCTTCAAAGATTCCCTCTGTCATCACCCTAACATTAAAAACACTTAACATTTGTTAATCATCAATGGGTCTCACTATTTTTTTAATATTTTTAATTGGGTTAAGGGTCATTTTTGCTCTCAACTTCTATTCAAAGGGTCATTTTTGCTACTCAACTCAAATATTTTATAACTAAAAAAATATTAAAAATATGTGGGGCCCACTAACAATGAGAATATGGCAGGGTGACGATGGAAGGAATATTTAAAATTAAGGGACAGAATTGACCCATAGTTGAGTTTGCAGGCATTAACAGCACTGACTCTTTTCAGCAGAAAATTCAAGTTGCACCACATAATTTTATTCCCTTTTTTATACCTCTTGCCAACATTTATAGAATGTTTGAACAGATTCTATGAAGCACAAAAACATCAATAAAGGAGTCATCTTTAACAGGGGTCAAAGCACAAGTTCAAGATGCATCAGTGAAATAGCAATTGGACAGATTAAATTTGGTTACAGCACCATAACCTGTCCAAATTTGGTTTATTCTTCACTTTTTCCAATTTCAAAATTCAATATTTCCAGAAGGGATACATTAAACATGAACAATGAATTCATTTTTATTGATAGCACACATGCCACTTGTAGAGCAAAAGGTTCCCAAATGTTGCACCTATCACAAAACGTTGCACAAGCTACATGAAAATGCAGGGTACAATAAATTCTCAAGTCTAAGCTTTATCCTATGATATCAAAGCCATGTCATATTCATGACAGTATCATCACAATGATAATCATTAAGCTATCCTTCACTTTCCTATTCATCTTTTGATGTTTCTTGTTCACCAGCCATATAAATAACAGCATGAGATTTGGAAGATGCCAGCGCCAATTTTTGTTCTCTTGATATGATCAATGAGTACTAAATCATTACATATTGATTGTTCAAGAATCAATCAAGTGAATCTTTAGCAATGGCCCTTGCAAAATCATTTGAATAACAGCTGCAATTGCCTTACATGTAGTAGCTGTAACACTAACTAAAAATACACAAAAATAGCTCCTGGATTGTGGATATGATGAGACCTATACACAAGTTGCAAGACTACACACAGACAAAGCGCCAAGACCCAAGAAGTGTAGCATGAGCTATCAGTTATTGCACAAACCATAACGTGCTATTTACAACGGGGGGTGAATTCAAATCCAATAGATAAAGGAAGCAAATTTTACACCGTTAAACAATCACGGTACAAGAAGGAAGATTATACAGCTTAAATACTGTGAGCAATGAACACAATTCCACGTCCTAATTTTTATTTGAGGACCCAAACAGCATTTCATTTTCATTCAAATCTGCCTCACTTGACTGAAATGGTAACGAGAAAAACAAAAAGAAGAAAAAATAATAACAAAAATAACATAATACATACCTTGTAGAAAACCCGGCATGAGTAGCAAGGCATAACATCCGAGGGAAAGTAATTGTGTAATCCAGCGGTAACCTACCCTACATAAAGTATCAGCAGTAAATTAGATGACCACAAATAGCAAACATGAATGAAATCGTTGTCCTGACAGAAGGATTGTAATTGCTACAGTATCATGGAAAGTTTGCTTTGGAAGAGCTCTTGAAAATTAGCATGTCAAAATAAATTTCTATTCCAGTAAAGTGCAGAATGCAGTCTGGGAGTAATATGAAACGCAGAAAATCATTATACACTACCTAAAGAAACACAAAGATCGTTGAAAAATCAACAGTTTAAATCTTTAAGGCAAAAGAAGAAAAGAAAAAAAAAATCAACCAGTGGAAGGGAGATTCATAAACACATTAAACCTTAATTTTTCTCATCAACCTACTCCAGTTACACTTCGATGAGTTACAGCTCTCTTGCGTTGTACTAACTCCGATTTAGTCAAAATCCACCATAGAAGGAGAACTCTGTTCCAACTTCCAAAAACAATTATTGATGTCAACAAATGACGCATGTCTAATGAGGTTAGCCTTAAATTCACTGGGGAAAAAGAACATCTCTGATATTCTTCTGCTGTGTACAAATTCAATGTACAAGAGGAAGGGGCCCCATATCATCTTATAATTATTTATGCTTCACATGAAAAAGTCCCATGTTTTTCAACCTAATTTCTCATATCAATAACCATCCCTTAACTGCGTTTGCCCCTATCATTACCATCATTATACAGAAAGCAAACTGTCACCAGTGCTTCTTCCCTTCTGGACTGCCATTACAAGCATTCTCTCATGCGGTTTTTTTTTTTTGGGGGGGGGGGAAGAAGCGGCAACTTGATGTCACTTAAATAACTATTTTTCTTCTTTTCCAAGTATATATCATTCACTGTTTCATTTAATATCCAGCAAAATCCAATACTAGCAATCATCAATTGCTACAACACAACTGTGAACACGGGAAAAAAAAAATCGCAATTTCAAACACGTAGATTCTACTTCAGCAAGTAATCAATCAAATCAAGTACCCCAAATATTGCAGAAGCGTGAAAGCCAGCCGAGTAATCAAATAAGTCTCAGCAGCTATATGACCAATATTTTCTTTACACGACCGTTGCCGTGTGAGCCGAGGCCGCGGGCCATCCTTCCCCGCGACTCTCACGTGCTTCTCACGCAAACAATCAGGGCCAGTTTCTCGACTCAGCTCTCCCGAGTCGACATCGACCATAGCTTTGCCACCACCAACCATGGAAACCAATGGACGGCGGTCGGTTAAAGTCGCCATCGACGGAGCCATGCTGGAGGAACCGACAGCTAAATGGTAGAAATATGGATTGAGATCTGGGAGATGATAAGACAGCCTCGGTTTGGGTGCCTTTAGTGGAGGGAATGTGTGATAATAGTATAGCTTATAGAATGCTTTGGTCGATTCAAAATTCATTAAAATTAAAATATTGAAACTACAGAGAGAGAGAGAATCAGCTTGGGAAGTTCAGAGAAGCTGGTCTTTGGGTCGAAGACAGCACGGGTACTGGTAAGGACAATGGCTCAACAAGAGGTTGCCATTTGCCATGGCGGTTACTTTGGATTCGACTCTGTCACTCTGCGTCACTGTGTAACGAATCTGTTTGGGTAATAATACGAATTTATTCTTGACTCTATTGTAGATTTCTTTTATTGCTTTTGTCTGTTGTCAAATTGAAATTATTTTCGAAGTCGATGGCCGAGACAGAATAAAAATTGTCAAATTACTTTTCTCGGCATTCTCTCCGCACATATTATTCTCGTTTTTATAAGTCACTAAATCACTGAATATATTCAGGCCAAAAAAAAAACTGAATATTAAAAAAATCTTAAACTAATTGATTTCCTTTAAAAATTTAATAGTTTTTTAATTTTATTATATTAAATATACACGGTAGCGCATAAGATTTCATTTTAATTTCTTAATTTTATAAAATATTTTTTTAATTTTTTAACACTAATATTATTAATTTAATCTCAAACAAATTTTACATTAAATTTTTAAATATTAATAAATTATTATCAAATGTTAACATATTAACTTTAATTTTTTAAAATAATATTGATTGATACAAAAAATAATTGTTTAAAATTTAAAAATATACTTTATAAAATTATAGGACTAAATTAAAATTTTATACTTCCTCCATCTTAAATTATATGACACTTTTAAAAAAAATATCACATATTAATAAATCTCATTAAATACACTTTTTCAAAGTAAAAATATAAACTTTTAAAAATATCTTTCATTTAATAACATTAAATCTACACTTTATTAATATTAAATAGAAAGAGAAAAGATAATATTAAAATAAGCTTATTCAATGAAATATTAATCTTTTCAAAGCATCTTTTGAACAACAAATTTCTTCCAAAAGAATCTTATAGTTTGAAATAAAGGAAATACAAAGTTACAAGATTAAAAATATATTTTAACATACTTCAATAAGGTACTTCTTTCCACCAATATTTAATGAAATAAAAAAAATTATAATAAAATATTAAAGACATAACTTATAAATAACATAAAACAATTTTTTTCTTTCCCTTAAAACTAGTAATGGAGGAAATATATAATTGAGCATATCTATCTACTTAATATATAAAATATGCTCCCTCTGTTTAAAAATATAAGGAATTCTTAACTGAATCTCACCCCTCAATAAAGTAATTACCTACTTTTTAACTAACTCTATCTTTTCATATTTACCCCTATTAAACATCCTATAATAAATATAAAGTCATTATTAATAGGGGCACTTTTGAAAAAAAGGCAATGATTATACTTCAAAAGACTAAAAATGTCTTATATTTTTAACATCCAACTCTTCAAAAAATGTTTTACATTTTTTAACGGAGGGAGTCTAAAAGAGTAAGAAAAGAGTCATTTAAAAAATAATTATACTGATATTTATATTATTTTTTGGTGAATATTTATGGTTTTCGCTGATATTTATAATGTTATTATCACAATCATCATCATGAATGTGAAACATAAAGTGGCTGCATTTAGGGCTTTAATTAAAAATAATAGTTTTATGTGTACCAAAAAAAATTATGATAAATATTAAGAATTAATTAATCTTTAATAAAATCATGCTCCTTTTTTTCCTAAGATGTTTTTGATAGAATCCTTCGTAGCAGTAGAAGTTTATTATTTATTATTTAATTGAAAACACATAAAATTATAATAATTTTCTAGTTTTGCCCCTAACAATGTTATAATTAATATCACAATCATGAGCAAAGCATATAATTAATATAAGAACAAAATTATTCAATTATTTAAAAATATTATAACAGCTCTTATATATATAAAGAAAACAAGTTTCTAAAAAGTATCTTATATATAAGAATAAAGAAAGTAAGCTTTAAGGTTTTTTTTAAATTTTGATGAAATATATTAAAAATAACTTATAAATAAGATTGAAATGAATTATATATACTCTATCCAATTCTTTCTATTATATGATACCTTTTAAGAGACTGCTTGATCATTAATATAAGTCAAATAGAAGGTTATTAATTAGCAATTTTCAATTGTATAGCTAGCAAATTACTGAAAGGATAATTTAATTTAAATTTAGTGTTTTTATATGACTTCTCAAACAATGTGTTTTTCTATTTTTTTATAGGAAAGAAGGTGAATTTTTTTTTAATTTCAAGACAAATTTAATAAGTTAACCATTGTTCCTTAATTTCAAGACAAATATTTTAAAATTTCTATTTTTTTTAATAGGAAAAGAGGTCTGAGGATGGCTATAAATGGCTAACAGGCCTATTGGATTTAACTTTAGTCATCAGATTGAGTTTGGAAGTAAATTAGGCCACTTGGGCTCAAAGTGAAGAGAGAAAATTAAAATTTAACCCACTGTGCATTATGCTATAGTATAATGCATTAACGCTACCACATAATGTCAAAAATTATATTTAAGAGGGCATTTACACGAGCGAAAATAGAAAAAAAAAAGAAAAGAATGAAGGGACTCGTGATTGTCTCTGCTAGCATAATTTTGCTAATATTTTAGGAAGATTTTGTAACATCCTAAAAATTTAAATCCAATTAATTAAGTTTAATGGGGGTAATTAGGTTATTAATGTGGTGTATGGCTAGAGAAATTTAAGAAGTGTGTTTGATTATGATTTCAATCTTAAATATGAGTTTGAAGTGAAACAGGCCATTCAGGTATCAAAAGGGGAGAAAGAATTGAAGAAAGGTTCTCTATGCTACATGCAATAGCGTGAGGAACATCCGCTGCGGGTATAAGGGCAACTAATAAAAGATAGGCCTCTCTATGTCATACACTGTGGCCACGGCACATAGCCAATTTTTTTGATATATTAATTGTGACATAGACTAAAACCAGAGGAGAGAAAAAGGAGAGAATAAAAGGCATGAGGTTACTCTGTTAGGGCATGAATTTGGAAACCAGTAGGGATATTTTAAAACTTTCCAACACCTAAGGTAAGTACATTATACTTCTCCCTCCCCTTTCCTTATATTTTCATAAAAGTTAAAGTTAGGGTTTGAGTTGAGAGAGTGATTTTTGATCTATATGAGCTATAGGTCTAAGCCCATTAACTAAAATGGATATAATGGAAGTAGTTTAGAGTGTTTAAATATCACATCTGTGGTTTTATAAGTTGTTGGTTGTTAAAATCCATTAATATTCAAAATGGCAATAAATAAGGTTGTTGGGAGTGTTTGATAGCCATTAATGATAATTTAATTATTCATTAATGACAATGTAAGTTGTTGGAATCTAGTAAACATATTACGTATGATTGGGAATGAGTTTATGAATTTAATGAAAGGGAGAATGTGGAGTGGAATGTTAGAAATTTCTCACAAAGGGATATTAATAAATGTCCTTGTAATATAATTGTAGATTAATCAATTGGCACCATTCAAGCTTGAAAAGAAGCTTAAGAAATTGGTATTTTGAGGGATAACCTTTAATCTCTTAAAAGTTTGAGATAATTAGGAAAAAATCTAGTTTGTATAGTTGTTTATTAATTAGTTATTTTTTGAATTTAACAATTTGGAACTTGTTTAGTGTTTGTAAACCCATTGATACAAATTTTGACAAATTAATGAATTATGTGTTTGGTATTGTCTTGAGTTATGGAGAGTAATGTGCATGTGTATGTATACATGACTAGGGATGAGGTTCTGAGAACAATTCATTATGACAATAATAAATATATTATTCTTAGTATGTGGACTCTGTGGAGAAGGAGAAGTATGTGTAAGTAAGATGATGTGGTTAATGTCTATTTAATGGCATACTACTTGTTATTATTTGCATAAGCATAATTATTGGCAGGAGTTTCACCTTGGAAGAGGATTAGCTTAGTAAACCCACGTGGTATTAACTAACGGCTTACCATTGAAACCGAAAGCTTGCCTTGACATCGACTATTAAAATTAGGTGGTAACCTTTGTCCTATGGTTGATTTGGGACTGTCTCACTTATTTTTCAAGGGACTTGAATCTAACTAGTCTCCACCAATTCATGAGAAGACTAGATTAGGAGTACAACACCCCCTAGTTGTTATTATTGAGGAAATCGCGATACGTGAGTGAGTGAGTTAACCCTGACTCAATAGCTCCTCACAAGTGAAAGGTTGAGTTAGTTCGAGTTACGAATGTAGCCACTTAATAGCCACCAATTTCATATTGAAGAAATCAAGAGGGTATAAAGTTGGCATTGATCATGCATTTAGTTCTAACCACATAGTTATTATTATTGTGATTCGGAGTGTTCCAAAGGCGCATGGTTGTTATTTTTGCTATACCAAGATATGTATAATTGTAATATATCCAATGATATGTGTTGCATGCTCGATTATATGGTTGTTATTATTATAGCTGAGGCTATATTTGACACGTGTGCATGTGATATGTGAATTTATTACCATTTACATTTATAATTAATTGATATGTAACTGTATAGACTAGGTCAACCTTAGTTACTAAATGATTGTACTCACCTCTTATTCTTCAATATTTTAGAGCCTAGCTTATCAGATTAGGATCAGGAAAAATGACTGGAGGCATAAGATTTTGAGTAAATCTTACTTATAGGCCTCTTTAAATATTGTATATTAAACCTTGTTAATTTTTCAACTAGGGTTTCATTCCATTATTTTGTCTACTTGTATTATAATTGAAAGTGTTTTATGTATTTTGTGCCCTAAGCTAATGATATGTGATTATAAAGCTTATTTAAGGTTGAAATACTAGTACAAGTTGGGTAAAGTGCATTTAGATTGTTTTGGATGAATATTAATGATTTTATGCAAATTATCTCCCCCTTCTTGTTTTTATGAATCAAGGGGTTGAGTGCTGAATTTGTATAATTTGTGTATTTGATTAACTATGGTGTATTGCACAAACCCAAAATGATCTGTTAAATATGGTCTAAGAGTTGGTGTAGGCTTTTGACATATGTGTTGGAGTTTGGATACTTTAATTGTGAGTTTTTTTATGAAAATGGAGTAGGAATTGAAAAGAGTTTCCAACTTTTAATAGAAAAATGAGTTAATTGTGAAACTTGTGCCATTATCTAGAGTAAGAAGAAAGCTCTC